GTCAGAGGTTCCTTACTTTTTTAAGGCTGAATAATATTGCATTATATGTATATACCACATCTTGTTTATCATTCATCCCTTGATAGACATTTTGGCCACCCCCACATTTTGACTATTGTAAATAATGCTGCTCTGAACATAGGTGTACAAATATCTGTTCACATCCCTGCTTTCATTTATTCTGGGTATATATCTAGAGGTGGAATTTCTGGATCATATAATAATTCTGTTTAATTTTTTGAGGAATCCCAGTATCGTTTTCCACAACGGCCATACATTTTATGTCTCCACCCGCAACTACGATGTTTTCAATTTCTCCACACACTCTCCATCACTTGTTACTTTGTTTTTGTTTTTTTGTTTTCCTTTTCAAAAATAGCCATCCTGCATTTGTTTTTATTACCATTTTCGGATGACATTAGGAATATTTAGTAGCGGTAAGGCCAACTTGGATCTCAATTAATAGATGGAGCTAATTTAAACATTGTCTGATATAAGACAATCATTTGTTCGTTTTTGATGAATTGCTCTTCTGCTTTTTTTTTTCTTTGAGATTTTATTTATTTGACAGAGAGACACAGAAAGAGAGGGAACATAAGCAGAGGGAGTGGGAGAGGGAGAAGCAGGCCTCCCGCAGAGAAGGGAGCCCAATGGGGGCCTCCAGGACCCTGGGATCATGACCTAAGCTGAAGGCAGACACTTAACGACTGAGCCACCCAGGCGCCCCTGCTCTTCTGCTTTTATTAAGAACTCTTGACTAGGATTTTGAAGCCTTACATTCTCATCCCGGCTCTGCTGTTACTCACCATCTGACTTTAGGGAAGTTGCTTAGTTTCTTTCATACTTAAAAAATTCGGATAAGAATTTCTCACTTTTGGGCACCTGGGTGGCTCAGTTGGTTAAGCGACTGCCTTCGGCTCAGGTCATGATCCTGGAGTCCCTGGGTGGAGTCCCGCATCGGGCTCCCTGCTCAGCGGGGAGCCTGCTTCTCCCTCTAACTCTCCCCCCTCTCATGTACTCTCTCTCTCTCTCTCTCTCTCTCTCTCTCTCATTCTCGCTCTCTCAAATAAATAAATAAATCTTTAAAAGAAAGAATTTCTCACTTTATTCACAAGGTTATTATAATTATCAAATGAGGTAGTCAATTTAAAATGGATTTGAGGGACCCCTGGGTGGCTCAATTGGTTGAGCATCTGCCTTTGGCTCAGGTCATGATCCCAGGGTCCTGGGATAGAGCCCTGCCACGTTGGGCTCCCAGCTCAGCAGGGAGTCTGCCTCTCTCTCTCTCCCTTGCCCCTCCCTCCCCACTTGTGCTCTCCCTCTCTCAAATAAATAAATAAAATCTCAAAAAAAAAATGGCTTTGAAAACTCTGAAATAATAGATTTATTTAAGGGATCAAAAGTTCATTTATAGGATTACCATTGTGGTTATTTGTACATCAAAGTGATTGGGTTTTACATTTTGGACATATAATGTACTTTGTAGAACATTTATACCTTCTGTTTTCTTCTTGTATTTTGTGTCATCATTTTATTGTGTATCATTTAGAATAGCACAGGTATGGAGTATTAATACAACTATCAAAGTTATATTACAGAAGAGGAATGTTTTCTCCTTTCTTTCTTTGATTTCTAATTATATATGTTCTTTTAATTACTTTTTCATTTTAAAATTTGATTGAGATTTGTACTCCTTGATTTGTCAGCTTGAGTTTAGGCAGTAATACTGACATCCTAGAGCCTATAAATAATGAAAATTAAAGCCCAAGAAATTAATCTGTTTGTTTGACAAAGTTTTTACTCTCTTTGTTTATATTTGCATGCAATTCCTAGATTGACTTAAGTTTGCTTTCTTTAAAGGAACAGTTCTTTCTGTTAACAGAAATACAGAAATTCAAATACTTGATTTATTGAGGGGGGGATTAGTGAACTAGGAAACCTACTTATTACTCTTCATTTTCCAACTAAGATATATGAACTACTTTTTTCAAAACCTGGAATTTTATTATTCCATTTAATGGAAATATTTGAAAGTTAGTAATTGAGTAGTCCTAGAGGAGAGCAAATTGTACACTCTGCTATGGTACTAATGAGTTTTGTTCTTTTTGAAACACTGAAAATGTTCAGACACCAATTTAAAATCCTCCTTTAGGTACTTGATATCAGGATGGAGATCAGGGTTAAGTTATTGGAAAAGTTATCTGCAGCAGTAATTATAATGACAGCATTTTGCATTGTCACAACTGAAGTATTTTATGTATAAGTGAGAAATAGCAAAAAAAAAAAAAGATAAAAGTTAAAAGCAAATGTCCTGGGAAGAATCTATGACATAAGGAAACTAAAAAATAAGTAGTAAAATAAGAAATTCAACTATAAAATTTAAAAAAATGCATGTTCTTTAATTTAAATTGGAAAGTAACATCCTGCAAGTATCTCTAAGTTGGAGTTTAAGAAATTTGCTGGTCAAAATCTATTATATATATAAATATACTTAAGATTTTATTTATTTATTTATTCAGAGAGAGAGCACACATGAGCTGGGGGGGGCAGAGGGAGAGGGGAGAGAGAATCTCAAGCAGACTCCTAGTTCTCAGCTGGGAGCCCAATGCGTGGCTCGATCCCAAGACCCTGAGATCATGACTTGAGCTGAAATCAAGAGTCAAATGCTTAACCAATTGAGCCACCCAGGTGCCCCTTCATATATATATATAATTTTTTTAAGATTATTTGTGTCATTCTTTGAGACCTGATTTAGCAGTTTGTAGTCAGGCCTAGGGATGTTTGGTTTTCAGAGCTGACTAGGTGGCAGAGTAGGGAAAACTGTTTTCCGGTATCACATGAATAACTTTCTTTCTTTCTTTGTTTTTTTTTTAAAGATTTTATTTATTTGACAGAGAGAGACACAGTGGGAGAGGGAACACAAGCAGGGGGAGTGGGAGAGGGAGAAGCAGGCTCCCTGCCGAGCAGAGAGCCCCATGCGGGCTTCGATCCCAGGACCCTGAGATCATGACCCGAGTCGAAGGCAGATGCCCAACGACTGAGCCACCCAGGTGCCCCATCACATGAATAACCTTCTAATAGAATCACTTCATTACTTCTGAGTTCCCTTGTGCACTTACCAGTTATAAATAAATAGCTGTATTTTATACATATAAATGTATGGTTTAATCTTGTTGCTTTTGACACTTTGCCCATAACAGAAATATAGGTAAGAGACATTAGACTTGAGAAATTTCAAGATTTCCATAGGATCTTCCATAAGCATCCTCTGTTGAAAGCAGAAACTTAAATTATCTACTGGCATCATCTGAAAATTACATCAATTCTTTCTGAACTCATTTCCTCTGTACAACTTTGCTACTGAGGCCAAAGGTCTTTTGAGATATTGGAGGGGCCATTTAGTGCAATAATTGAAATACTTTAAGATTTCATTTAAAATATATGTAAAAAATGAAATAAAATAAAAATAAATATGTGTAATAATTTTGCACAATATACTTAGCAACCATAGTTTGTATATTTTGTACTACCCAAAGTGTGGTTCCGTTTGCCAAGATCAGCAAGATTTTACTAAAAATGTAGAATCTCCACAAAAAACTTCTGTCTCAGAATCTGCATTTTAACAATATCCCTGGATGATTCGAAAGCACATTAACGTTTAAGAAGCTCTACCACTGAGATGTTGGGAACAAAAAACCTGCCTCCTCATCACTGAACTAGTCTAAAGAGAATATTTCTTGTATCTTAACTTTCTTAATCTCGTTTTGAATTTAGAATACTTTTAGCCCCCCCAAATTATCAATTTTTTCTCTGCAATCCGTTATTCAAAATTCTCATGAACAGATCAACTCCTTCATTTTCTTAAAAATCTTTGGATGCTTACTATCTGCCAGACATTTAATCCTCATAAAAATTTAGTTTTTTAGCTATGAGAGTGTGTCCAGTTTGACAGAGTTGGTGAGTGGCTGAGTGAGGATGTCAACCCAGGCAGTGTGCTCCCAAGTTGGTGCTCTTAACCACCACATGACATCTATTTGGTCATAGTCATGCTCAGGTTTCCTGCACAAGGCAAAGCCCAAGTGAGGAAGCTATTTGATTAGAAATAGCATTCAGATTACTAAAGCACTGCAGTGATGGTTCAATCGATGGAGGTACTTAACTATTTTTTCCTAAATCAAGGATAAAAATAATTCCTGATATTTAAGTGAAATATTTCATATGCTTGCACACATTTATTTCACAGCAGTATAAGGAATGAAGATTCTATCTTACATGAATAACTATGAATTGAAAAATATTCTTTCCATGCAGTAATCTAGCAATAGCTGTGATAATTCACAGATGACTGAACTTTAGAGCCAGACAAAACAATAGAGGAGAGAGGAACTGTTTTATATAGATATGAAATAAAATCTCACAGTTGCATATTCAAACATGGAACAATCAGGAAAATGGCATTTTGTTTGTTTGTTTGTTTTCCTCTGTCCTCCCTCCTATTATCATTTCTTATGTAGGATCCCTGAAAATTGGTGGTAAATATTTCAATTTGATATAACAATGTCATATTACTTGTAGTAGGGTAAAGATTAGGAGCATGTAATTAAGCATTTTTTTTTCTTTGCAAACTAGATTGCAGACCAAGGACTTTAAAAAGTATCTATTTCTATCCTTTTAATCTTATGCTCACAATGCCTCCTCAAACTCTAGACGAAAATCCCGTTATATAGTTTAGCAGACAGGTAAGACTCAAGCCTTATCTGGAAGAGGACAGAAACCACTCTCTGCAGTTCAAGAAGACTTAAAAGGTTATGACTGATAGAACTGGAAGTGGACCATTTGTATCCACTAAATATGTTATCAAGTTAAAACTCATTTTTACACTGGGGAGAAGAGCTAGTGATGAGAGTGAAGAATATTGTAAAATCAAATTTCAGATGTTTATTGAAGCCAAATTGATGTCTACAATTATAAAAAGTAATTGATGTAATTTTGCTTTTCAGTGTGTATGTACAGAGAGCCATCACTTCATGAAATTGGAGAAAAACAAGGGCGTTCAAGGAAAAGTTCTGGAACACCAACCATGAATGGAGGCAAAGTCGTGAATCAAGATTCAACATAGCTGAGAACTCTTCCCTTTGTCCCTCTTCATCCCTTCCCTTTCTCCCCTCCCCTTTACCCATTTCCTTCCAGTAAATCCACCCAAGGAGAGGAAAACAAAATGGCAACCCAGGACCTAGTGACTAAGATTCTGCACTCAAAAATCTTCCTTTGTGTAGGACAAAGAAATTGAACCAAAGCTTGCCTGTTGCAATGTGGTAGAAAATGCACATGCACAAATATTAGCACACATAAAATCAAGGGAAACAAACAAGTCAAGACACCACAACATTGTGTTATTATTAATAGAGGGCTAATTATAGTGAAGACATAACTATAATAAATTTGAAATAAAGTTATTATCTTAAAGACAAGGGTTTTGGAGAATTGAACTTACAAATCAATGTAATACCTTGAGTAACTTAAACTTTGGATAATGCTGTGATGTGTGCTTTGTGTTGAATTTGAATTTTCTTTGGGCATCTGGAATTGACACATAATTACATCCTGTTTCCAGGATTTTTTTTTTACCATGATATTGAACATGTACAAATTATAGATTGTTCTAATGCCCATATGGTATAAGCCAGGAATCATTTAAAAGTTTAAAGTTTTATTCTTGAATTTGTTACTTACAATTATTTTATGCAAAAGTAGACTTTTGTTGAATTTAGTGGTATTAACTGATTTCATTCCTTCATAAAAAGTTTCAGATTAACCTAGTATATTATCATATTTTTTTTATCAAAGGAATTAATCCAGGATCTCATTTTTTTAGTTATTTAGGAAACAAAATGTGTTCTAAGGCTGAGTTTACTTACGGGAATTCTGTGTCATCGCCATGCCTGGGCAGTGATGAATAAGATATATGCTCTTATCATTTGGCCTGATTTTTCACATTGTGCACAGCTTTGAGAGTATAGGTGCATGTCTAGCTGTGTTAGAGAATTTTGTACCATCTCTTGCAGCAGGAAAGAAGGAAAAGGGGTTTCACACAAGGAAATAAATCCTAGGGGTCAAAGCAAATCGTATTTGCCTTTGTACCTTACCAGAGTTTTATGTATGTAGCATTTTCCAAACTTCAGGAAGAAATTGGGAGGCATGGCTGTGAAATTCCTAACTTACCATCTCATGAAGCCAGTGGCTTGCTTGTTGCTATATATCCTTGTTAATAAGTCTAGTTGACAATAATTCTGTCTCCTAGAACACAGAAGGGAAATTGATACACTGAATTTTCAAGGGGCATAGAGAAACAATATAGAATTAACAGCTATGGTTCCAAGGCACAGCGTTGTGTGAGCTTAATGTAGTTTAAAAAAAACTCAGTGTAAGGACTAGGCAAATGCATAGTTAGGAATACTCAAGTATTAGAAAAATATTAGGGAAGAAATGAATGTTGTACAATTGCCTTGGGGAAAAAAATAGATCTACTTAGTCCTACAAATCAGGAATGATATAGAAACATCCAAATTAAAACAAAACAGAATGTTAAAAAATGTATGCAGAATTATGGATATTATCAATGAGAAGACTTAGCATGTTACTTCTCCTATAGCTCTACTGTCCAGCATGTATTGTTCCAAATATGACTCCCTAAAATATAGACACTCTGCAGGAGCTCTAGGCCTCCACTTAAATGACCTTGCCATTGGTTGCTGTATTCTTTCAAAGTCAATGTAGTTCCCCTCACTCTACACAATCATTATTCTTTAATAGTGGTTTGTGTCCTTCACCAAGTATTCTATTTATGTTATCAGGAGGTTAGCAGAAAATGAAATGGAGTTGTAAAGAATAAAAGTTAGGCATCTAGGCAAGGATTTTGAACACACATTTGCAAAAGACATTTGTTTAACCAAAATATTTTGAAAGTAACAAATAAAGACATTTAAATTTAAAGAAAAAAAAAGAATGTTGCTCTTCTAGGAAAAAAATACCCTTGTAAAAAAAATTACCAATCTGGTTGTATTTCTCCTTGTCACTCTTGATTCAGCTTGATTTTAAACACACCTGTCACTTCTAGGAACAAACAAATCCCATGCACAAAGCCTTGTTTTCTTTGAAAAAATAAAAAGAAAGAGGCTTCTACAAAATGGGTCACAGGCTCATTTAGCATGAAATGACTTGAGATTTTATGGTGACACACACACACACACACACACACACCACAAATTCATCAGTAACACAATTGCAATTTCACAAAGTGTTATTAACTACACTAATGATTTCATGACAATATATTTAATCTGGTTCAATATTATGAAAAATGTGATAGAGATATAAACTCCCAACACAATTTTCCCCTCAATTGTCAATGGCTGTCCATCATTTATCACCGAGACTCCTATTTGTCTTCTTTCTGATAGCAATTAAGAAACAGATGTCTAACCACCCAATTTCTCTATTGTTTTTTTCATATCATTGAAGCAAATGTTGACCACAGTAAAATGTTTAGAAATTAGCTTTGGCTTATTTACAATTAATTTTGAAGAATAAATTGGAAACCTCCTATTTCTTTTACATATATTAACCTGACAAAAACTGTAGTTTAGAGCGTAGGGTGAACATTTGCTTAACTGCTGCTCACTTTTCAAGTACATAAAACCTTTAATAGAAAAAGTCAGTATTCACTGCCTAGGTTTTCAAACAATTACCAAATATAAACATATAATTATTCTATTTCTTCCAAAAACAAGAGCCAGTTTAAATAGTTTTTCAGGTTTCTTCCAAGTGAAAGAATTCTTAACTTTGATTTTTGTCATTCCAATTTCTGGGTCTCAATTCATCCATATCTTATGTTCCCATAAATAAAATAAACTCTTTTTTTAATGCATTGGGATATTCTCAGGAAAAATACAACTTTTAGTAAAGCTTTGTAATTGACTATGTACATATAAGTTAAGATGTGTTTATTCTAAGAGTCCTTATTGTAACATGTTTCAAAATCAATGGGCTTAAGAATGAAAACAAAACTTTTGAGAATCTCAAAATAGTTTTTTGGTCAATATATTTCACTTGATTTTTAAGCTAGAAGTTTGAGGTATAGAAACAAAATGGTGCTGAAGTTCCATTTGCTAATTTAGAGCCTTTTGTGCTTCAGGAAACTGGAGGACAGCCCGCCAACCTGTTCTTGATTATAGTAATAGTTTGGGTTTCGAATTTTACATATGAATTTCATAGCACATTTTTAGCCGCTATGGATTGGCACAATAAAAAGACATCAATTTGATGTAAATTGTGATGCTTTATGGGCCTCATTTTAATCCAGATAGCTTTTTAGAAGAATTCTTCAATTTAGGAAAATGACACTGCTGTAGATAGGTGTTATATCTATGGATGGTGGTCCTGTGGCGCCACTAGCAAGAGATGAGAGTATTAAGGGCAAAGTAAAGGATGAAGAATGGCTTATTGTGTATTGCAAAGTTTGAAGGTCCTAGTTTGAGACCACTGATTTCTTGGTGAAGAAGCATGACTACATCAACAGTAATTTTTTTAAACACAGACCCAGAAATAGCAAATCTATTCTATCCTCATGGCTTAGTCTACAAGGTCTTGCTCTGAGAAAGTTTTTCCATGATGTTACTTAATTTCGTCTGCACAAGGTGAGACATTCAAACATCAAAATTCCCTGCTCATTTTAATAGCATAAAAGGCTGAGATTATTTCTCTGTCATAAAATTGTAAATAGCATTTTTTAAATCAGAATCACATTTAAAACAGTGGATTGTTCTACAAATATATATGTGTATATACATATGCTTCTGAAATAAGGATATATAGAGTTTTTATTTGACTTGTGTTCTTTAGTCATAGCTAATCAAAAAATAAAGAGATTTGAATGCAAAACTTTATATACAAATGTATATTTCTAATGGTAATATAAATTGCCACTTTATAATAAAAAAAGGAACTGGTAGAAATAATAATCAAAGCACATGCTCCTTCAGAACGTCAGTGATTCTGAATTCCCTCTTTAACATAGAACTGAGGGGATTTTTAATTTATTTTTAAAAACTTATCTTAAAAAGCTATACTTCCTGACATAGATTCCATGAAAAGTCATTTCAGATTGAAAAGCTATGATTGAGGGCAGGAAAAAGGTGTTAAATGCAGATCTTTATTTTTTAGGATTTTTCCTTGGAGCCCAAGTTAAAAATTCAATATTTAAAATCTAAATTACATGAAAACTGCTAATGTTCAGAGATGATATATTAGGCTTCAGTAACAGAAGCAAAAATATATTTAACAGTACACTAGCTTTAAAATAGTGTCATCATAAACATTGAATCATTAGATGTTCTATTAGTTGGAAAAATGAGTTGATGTTTCTTTGTCTTTGCTCCAAGCACAACTTGAAGACACTGGCATTCATTTTACTTAAAGTTGTTCAAAAGTCCAAAATATACTCCCATTAATATAATTGGTATTAGCTCCATTACAAGGTTAAATGTTACAATTTTAAAAAATTATTGACACTGAAATGTTTAATAAACATGTTGTATGAGAAACTGAAATTAATGTTTCATTTTTGCATTGAAGCACAGACTATTCCAATCATTATTTTTTGAGATCAGATTTGTAAAATGTTTATACATCACAATCCTCCTGACGTAAAAAGGAATTAAAGTCTTGAGATGCTCATGCATGTAGACAAAATACTTGCACTTCTTTGTTTTTAGCATTAAACTTCTCTGGGAAGTCTCTCTCCTTTTTAAAAATGTGTTTATTTTATAATGTGTCAGTGAAAAAGTGCTGTGTCTTATAAAAGAAGATCAAACTTAGATTCACAGAAGGGGAATAAGTCAGAATTTTTATTGAGCATCATAGCCAAAAGTAAAAATTACTTACTAAATATGAAGAACCTAGTGGTCAACCTAATGTCTTTTTGAGGATTAAGAACTAGAGCACATTCATTTCTTCATTGATTCATAATGTACTAATTAGAGATGTGGTTGAGTTTAAGGATTGTAAACTAAATTTTAGTCTCAAAAAAAAAAAAATCTAAGAAAGGCCGACACATAAATAAATAAGGTAATACTGGAAAGTAAATGTTACAATAAGCTTCTCCATGCAACCGACAATGCAGCGATGAAGCCGAACGGGAAAACAGGGCTTGAAAAGAGAGTAGATATTTACTGAGCAATAAATGAGAGATGACAAGGAGCCCTTCAAGGAGAGGAAATAGTTTGAGGACAAGTTATGGAGACATGAAAGTCACACTTTACTTGGGAAATACTTATGAG